TAATACCTCGTTAACAAAGCCTTAAATAACATTTTTGTTAAAAAAAAACTTTTTCAAATCACCTTACAAGTCTCCCATTTCCGGGTCCTCCAACATTTTTGTTACACTCTGTATACAGGGTGAACCACGAATCGTGATCAGTAGAGATTACTCTGTTATTAACAGTCCGATCGAAAATGTTTTTATCAGGTATAACATGGTTTCAAGAGAGTTTTAATGCGATTATAGCAAATTTTTTGTCAACTCTTTTTTTTTCACGATTTTTCAAGGTCACCTTCAATTTTTTGTAAATACACCTATAATTTTTTTACACCTTGCTGTTAAAGAATTTCAAGACGAATTTGGTAAATATCAGAACATAACTTTCACCTTAATTTAAGCGATGTTCAAAATGGTGTCCATCAGCTGCAATGCACTCGCGTAGACGGCGAATAAAAGAGTGTTTAGCACTGTCTATGACCTCTGCACTGATAGCTGAACATGCATCCACAATTCTTTGTGGAAAAACCATTTTCGATCGGACTGTTAATAACAGAGTAATCTATATATACATATATAGAGGGTGAGGCACTTAAAACCGACCACTTGAATAACTTGGCTGCTATTGCTGATAGGAAAAAATGCATCACGCCAAAATTATTTAATATTGAAGGGCTGATTATCCGATGTTACTAGTTTTTTGATAGGTGGAGGCGTCAAGGAGATATGAAGGTCATCTCTGTTTTTTTCAATGGAACGGTATATTTTTTACTTACTTATGTTTACGTACTGTGTTCGTCTTGAAATACTCTATCAGAATGTAAGTAAAAAAATATACCGTTCCATTAAAAAAAACAGAGATGACCTTCAAATCTCCTTGACGCCTCCACCTATCAAAAAACTAGTAACATCGGATAATCAGCCCCTCAATATTAAATAATTTTGGCGTGATGCATTTTTTCCTATCAGCAATAGCAGCCAAGTTATTCAGGTGGTCGGTTTTAAGTGCCTCACCCTGTATATATGTGTATATAGATTACTCTGTTATTAACAGTCCGATCGAAAATGGTTTTTCCACAAAGAATTGTGGATGCATGTTCAGCTATCAGTGCAGAGGTCATAGACAGTGCTAAACACTCTTTTATTCGCCGTCTACGCGAGTGCATTGCAGCTGATGGACACCATTTTGAACATCGCTTAAATTAAGGTGAAAGTTATGTTCTGATATTTACCAAATTCGTCTTGAAATTCTCTAACAGGAAGGCGTAAAAAAATTATAGGTGTATTTGCAAAAAATTGAAGGTGACCTTGAAAACTCTTGAAAAAAAAGAGTTGACAAAAAATTTGCTATAATCACATTAAAACTCTCTTGAAACCATGTTATACCTGATAAAAACATTTTCGATCGGACTGTTAATAACAGAGTAATCTCAACTGATCACGATTCCGTGGTTCACCCTGTATACAGAGTGTAACAAAAATGTTGGAGGACCCGGAAATGGAAGACTTGTAAGGTGATTTGAAAAAGTTTTTTTTTAACAGAAATGTTATTTAAGGCTTTGTTAACGAGGTATTAAAGAAAAAAGCCCGACCGATTTTGTGTTACAGCTGCTAAAATATTCACTGTGTTTCGATCATCAGTTGCTGCCTTGGATCTTCTTCGTATTTTGTTATCTACACGTTCAGTTTCTTGAAAACTTTTAATAACATTCGTAAATGCAGATCGTGAAGGTGTGACATGTTGGGAAAACCGTTCACCATACTAACGGACTGCGTCTCTTACAATTTAGCGACATTCCCCATAAACAAAAACCTGATCTACTTTCTCCGCTATTGAATAACGCATTTCGGAAACTTGAGATACACGTCGCTCGGCAGAGATTCTCATAAACGACTAATCATAGTATGTACAGATGGAGCGTACAGCGTAATTGAATGTTTATTTCCATTCAACGACCCATAACAAGAGATTACGAGATAGAGATGAAGTAATAATATCAACAACCGGAGACAACAAGGAAGTGTTCGACCATTTTCTCAAAGTAAATTATTTTCTATCACAGTTGGCTGAACGCAGACCACGAATGACCTTTCCAATAGGTCATTGTATTCGTCTTGAAATACTCTATCAGAATGTGAGTAAAAAAATATACCGTTCCATTTAAAAAAACAGAGATGACCTTCATATCTCCTTAACGCCACCACCTATCAAAACACTAGTAACATCGAATGATCAGCCCCTCGATACTAAATAATATTGGCCTGATGCGTTTTTTCCTATCACCAATAGCAGCCTAGTTATTCAGGTGGCCGGTTTTAAGTGCCTCACCCTGTATATCACAAATACTGTGCTGAAGGTACATAAATTTCCAAGTGGTTTCTGAGTACAGTAACGGAAAGAGAGGACTTAGATAGAATACAGGGTGTCTCAGCTAACTTGATCACCTCGAATAATTTACTTAACGGCACATTTTATGAAAAATTTGAGGCATTGAATTTAAATGGCATCAAGGAGCACATCTTATAAGGTACGTACTTTTTTTGTGGGTGGAGGCATTTCAGAGATTTCAAGGTCACCTTGATTTTTTTTAACGTAATGACCTATTAGGTATACCCTAGACAAGCTATATGTGCTTGAACTGATGCCCCACAACTTCAATACAGTGATTGTTTTGTAAATATCTTGTTAACTATTAGGCTTAGGACGTATGAAGACCAATACATTTTCACTCAGAATTTGATACTCTATCGATCTATGGTACAAAACATGGGTTATTCCGTTAATACAATCAAGGTGACCTTGAAGTCTCTAAAATGCCTCCCCCACAAAAAAAGCACGTACCTTATAAGATGTGCACCTTGATGCCATTTAAGTTCGATGCCTCCAAAATTTTCGTAAAGTGTACCGTTAAGTCACAGAATAATGATTCGAAGTGATCAAGTTAGCTGAGACACCCTATACAACAGAGTGGTTGATTTCAAAGGGACGAGTACCTTTTAGAAGCTTAGGTGTTATACTTGGGACGAGCTACTAGTACTAATGCAGAGGTGAATCTCACAAGAGCAAGCCGCTCATTCCCACGAAGGTTTCGACAAAACTTATAATACCTACGATGTGGCATTGGTTGCTGCACGTTACCACCTACTGTCACCCTCTTGACGCTATCGTGTCGTCTTTAGACACCTTCTCCTCCACTGCATTACTACGCATTCATAATTCAGTGTCACGCTCCACTTATCGGGGTCTTGGAGCCTTCAATGTCTCGAAGAATTTAAAGTTTTAGATTGGATGGATGCATATACAGACAGAGAGAGTCAGAACAGAATATATATCTTACAAAGGTGAAGTTTATTTAGTACTTGTGTAGCATCCTACTAATTGATAAACAAACTCAAAGAATTCCTAGGTAGTTTCGCATGATCACTCGATGACAACAGTCTTTGATACATAAATTCTTTTTATTTGTAAATTCCAATTCACAATGTTCAATTAGGTATATTTGAAAATGTAATAATAATATTGCTCGGATTTAATTTGTAGAACGGGAATGTAATATTTCCGGACGTGACACGCTCGATGATCATTATAACGGTATCCACGATTTTTCAACCGTTTATGACAATGTAACACAAAAATAGTTGTTCGTCAAAATTTATCAGTTCTAATTGGGCAGCATATGACGGTAACACTTTTGTGTTATACGGCTGTAAATTTTCGACAGACTTTGTTTGGAAAAGTCTGAACAGTTGACGCGTCGTGTGCTTTCACGCTGATACATATTAGGTGTACCAATACGTAAGCCATTATATTTTGTCTTAAACCCTTCGAGCACGGTCCCTGGGTCACGCGGTCTCAAGAGTGACACGCACACAGTGACGGAGCTGTTCGTGTAAATCGCATAGCGACCGATGTTTGTTTACATGCGAACGACCGGGTCAAGACGCCGTAGAAGTATTGACTAATAAATATAATTTGTTTTATAATTCACGCGATTTTTATTCTAGTTAGTGTAATAAGATCCCCGAAAATCCGAATGTAATATGGAACCGGCTAATCATTACATTGTATACATGGTGACGGGGGCTCGATAGTACAGTGTCGGTGAGGGCCTCGAGCTCGAACCTCGCCGTCGCTGTGTACTAGTAGAATATCGGTGTGGGGTCAGAAATGACATAGGGACCGGTGACCATGTGTCCGTGCTCGGAGGGTTAATACCTTTTTTGAAGAAATCGAAAGTCGATGCTGGTTCAGTGATACTTGTTCTCCTTTGCCGATATTCGTCGTTATTTTGAAAGAAGAAAACGGAAGAAAGATGTTTCAAATTTAAACTGTGTTGCCAGTTTATTAAAGAGAAGTGGTGGATTACTTATTAGTACATCTAATAAATTTTGTAGGTCTTTCAATATGATTTCCCGGAAAGGGAGTTGTCTGCACAGAATATTTTGATTTCCCTGTGTCATGCAACTTGCGTGACGTTATATGGACAATTTATTTCCAAATATTTTCAGACTTCAACCGAGGATTAACTTTGCAGACATTTTGAAAATAGTTTTGTATTACAAAAAATATATAACTTTACGTATAAAACAAAAATGTAGTTAAAAAGAACGATCCTTTACGATACAAATTTAAGGAAAATGAAGTTTGTATGTTTAATACATGTGCAGATAAAAATACTATTGTGATGTTAGTTTTCGAAAAAATCAGCGAATATTGCCAAATTTGAGGGTTTGTATTTTTTAAACAATTTCGCGTATTTTTTAAACCAGCGAAATGATCACTTAAACCCTCCCTATTATCACATGGACTGTTACATATTTCAATTTGAGCAAAATCGCAAACATCGACTGCGAAAGTGATCCACTTGACGTGGAATAGCACTTCGAATAAAATTTCTTATCGTCAGCAAATAAAGAGTCTAGTTTATTTACCACACAAAACACTATAAGAGAAGCGCTCATGCGTGGACAACGTCGGTTTATACTTTTTCGTTTAATCTATTTTCTTCGAAGATTTCACCTCATTGCGTTTCATATATTGCATAATCTTTCTGCATACATACCATACAATGAACAATTTAACGCATATTAACAAAACGCAAGAAGCAAGGTATACCGCTAGAATGTCTAAGTGGTGGAACTTCCACAAGTCCAAGTCCCGTGACCCACTGCGAAGATGTTTCGCTCCTTTGTGACGGATAACGTGTTCTATCCACCACGTAGCGTGCTCCATTGGCTGATAGGGCAGATCTCTGAACAGGTCGCGGAGCTTTGTGACGTTTTCTTTGTATCTAAATGCGAGGAGATAGAAGACAAAAGACTTAATTATTTGACAATAGCATTATCTGGATTGAAAGCGGGATGACGGTGTCTTTCACAGAGAGTACAAGGGAAAAGTTTCTTCGATGAGAAGTTCGTCCATTGAATTTAATCGATAGTGATTCAAGATAGGTAGTTACTTTCGATTTGTAATTATTTCAGTCACGGCTTGTTTGAACGTTTCCTTCGTGAGATGTGAGAGATCCAGTGACTTCGCTACTCCATATTGTACTAACAGGTTGACATTAGTGTTCTGATCTGCGAAAACAGGCATGCCTAACACCGGTACTGCGTACTCTATGGCCTCCTCTGTACTTTGAAGACCCCCTTGATAGATGTACAATACAATGTTCGGATGTGCTATGGGGTAAAAAGTTTGATTAGAAGTGATCATTTAAGGGAAACTGCAATACATAGTTGTTAGAACATGTCCCTTGATCCTCGTTGCCGTTTAAGAACTTGGATTGAGGCTCAATTGAAGTTTTGCACGAATAGTTCACACTCGTCGAATTCAATTAAATGTAATATTCCTTTCAACTGTTAATAAACTTTTAACTGTTAATAATTTTGTTAAACTCAAGGAATTGTAGAAGTGATAAATTCTGTAACGATGAAGTTTTAATTATAAAAGAGAAGGTGCTACTTACTAGTCCTTGTTTTTCCTATTGCATGAGAAGTAATTAAAAGAAGTCATACGTCATACGATAAACAAAGTCATTAGCAATATATGTATCGAATTTCATTAAAACTGATTAGATTTAAAAATTTTCTTTTCAACGTTAACAAAAACTAAACATTGTTTATAACTTTGAAACTATTCATTTGTTGGCCCATGGTCATCAGGACTTCTTTCATTATTTGGCGAGTACTATGTATTTACCCAAGAAGTTAAGAACTCTTTTTTTCAGCCTGTATAGTTCACATAATACTGGTCAACACGTAAAATACCTCATAACCGTTAATAGGCGCTTCTGATAGATCTTTATAAACTGAATACGAATCTACAAACCGTTTTTTCTCACCACGTCCAGTTATTGAAAAAATCAATTTTAAAAAGACTTGTAAATTTTCAACTTTGGATGTATGTTGTGCTTTTTAAAATCTAACTATAACTCGCGATAGAGCAGACCTTTCTGCTACGAAAAGTGTCAAAGAAAGATAAAAAATCTGTTTTGTTTTCGAAAGAGAAGAGAAATAGTTGAGCAAAAACGTGGCGATGGCAGTGGTACTCAATAATGGCGTTCGCCTTGCCTGCCGCCAACGTAACAGAAGCACTAAACGCGATCTGCATGAAGTTAGCGTTTGTGAAAAACGAAAAATGATTGTTGTACTAGTTTGTACTAGTTTTATACAGTGTCGTACCGTTGAAAGTTTTCCAAAATTCGAAACCGTTTTCGAAAAAAGTGGACAGAAGTCAACGGTACAACGCGATACAAAACTAGTATAAACTAATACAACGATTCTTTATCAGATGAGTGGTCGTAATAATTTTATTTTACGATTTTTTTGAAAAGCAATGTTGTTGATCCATTTTCTCAAACGGCACAATGCTTGGTACAACTAATACAATGTAGTACAATCGAGTAAGACGACTTTTTTCGAAAAAGGGGGGCTAACTTCGCAATTAGTTTTCTCCATTTTTTTCAGAAACGGTTTCTAATTTTGGAAATTCTCTCAATGGTACAATGCGATACAAAACCAGTACAAATAGGTAGAACAATCATCTTTTAGTTTTTCTCAAAATGGGGGCTAACTTCACGCACATTCTAACGCGCGCAGTTTTCACTTTGATCATTATTTAAGGGGAGAGACTCCGTGGCCCGTGTGCTGTGTCCGTGCGCTCACACAATCAACGGGAACCATGTATGTATACGCGATACACGAGAGAGACATTCGATTTCGTAGAATCCAACTTCTGCCTCGACAATTGCACAAATGCACTTTTCACTGGTATAGAACTCACGGGTAGACTTCCCTACAGGGTGGTCTGGTCCGTATAAACACCAATAAACACATTTTAATTGAAAGAATTAGAATTTTAGAAATTGTGCGATTGTGACAGACGCCGATGAAGCACACAAGATGGCTGCTCAAGTCACATTTTGTCAAATATCACACGATTTAGTTGTTTTCTCGTCAAATGCTGACCAGACCACCCTGTACACCACTGTCACACTATCGTAGAAATCCGATTTTTGTTAATTTATTACTTGTGGAAGACGTAAGTTGGATTCTATGATTTGACGCGTCCAAGCTCAGGAATATACAGTGGTATAGTTCAAGGATTCTCCACTATCGGCGCTTATGGTATTTGTCAGTCACTTTGGCCATGTTACCACCGAGCATCGATAAAACAGAGGGAAGTCGGTATATGTAACCTCGCAACACGTGCTGGATCGTATCAATTGTTTTGTTACGCTGTTGCCATTCGACAATTCTGCCCATCAGGAGAACGAT